ATTAGATGAAATTGTACACAAATCTTTTGTATATTCTCTGTATTTATAGAATCTGGTAAGAGTCTATAGCTTTCATCAGATTTTCAAAGGGTTCAGAGAAACAACAACAACAAAAAAAGTTAACCATTCAATTAAAATATAAGCTAAAAAAAGTATAATAATTGAGAGCTAAAACAATTTGAGAGTAACATACTAGGAGAAATACCATGGAGAAAGAAACAACCTGGCTAGGGAAATCCAGGAAAGCTCTGTGGGAAAGGTAATAGAGAGGGTATGTGGCAATGGGGGTATATAAACAAAATGGATTATGTTAATTAGCCATAAGAGGACTTGAAACCCTGTCACAGAAGAGTCAGATATGTCTAGATTGGGGAAAAAGAGACTTGGGCATATGACAGTTATTTTTAAACATACAGAGTTTGTGAGGTCAAAAATAAGCAATCTTCTAGATTGGCATTAGAATCACTGGGTGGCAACTATAGGGAGGAAAGATTCTTTTAAAAGCCAGTGAAGTCTACACAGACTGCTTTGAAAATGGTGAGAATCTCCTGCCACCTTGCCTCAATACTGTAGGTATTCTTGGAAAAAAGCGCCAAAGCCATTGGGTGGGATACTGACTTCCAGTTGTCAGATAAAATACAGGATGCCGTTAACTTTAAATTTCAGATACACAACGAATACTTATTTTTGGAAAGAATGTCCTATAAGTAAGTGCTTTGGGAAAAAGAACTCCTCACAGTGGTTTAAGGAGCAACAAACAGAACTAAGTCATAAATATTGCATGGAATATACTTATACTCAAAATCAGGCGTTGTTTGCCTGAAATTCAAATTTAATTGGGCATTGGTATTTTTATTTGCTTAAATCTGGCAAATGTTGAAGTGACTTTTTTTGGTATTTGTTGAATATTTTAATAACAGTGAGAAAATTTAATAAGTTTTTATTTTTAAATCCTTACTTTACTGTGACATTTGGTTCCATATTTGTAAAAACAAGTTAAGACTACTTTTATTTTCAAGACCTAGCCTTACTGTTGGTATACCAATAAGACTTTATAACCCCTTTGGTAGAAGAGTTTCTAAATTTCTTAGGCTCAGATGCAATCCTAATAATATTATCTGAAAACGATGGCTCATTTGAAACTTCAGATTAGAGGCTGCAAGGTCTGTGGAAGGCATACCTACTGGAAACTGGCCACTCTTTCCATACAAGCTCTTAGTAATAATTTTTGCAATACTCAACCTTCTCCCTGAATAATTCACTGAATAGCCTAGAGAAAAACCTATAACCAAAGCTAGGCAAATGAGACACGCTTCTCCAGAATATTTGAATATTTGAAATGGAAGATATAGGGACCAGGACAGGTTGGTAGGTGGGCTCTGTTAATGGCAGTGCTCTAGGGAGTAGATTCATGAGGACCCTAGAATTGTCTTAATTTCAGATATGTCATTCCTTCTTGGTTTCTGTGAAATGCCCCAGTATCCAAATATCCTTTTTAGTTGAAGAGCTATAATTAGATTCTGTTCATTGAAACCCAAAGAACCTTAACCAACAGAATATTGTAGAAAATGTATTGGGTAAGTAGGATATCTGGGATTGCGTGTAGAATATTGCTTAATGTCTGAAAGACCTTAAGAGTTTGGAAAAATCAACTAAAATGGCAACCAGGGAGACTCTCCCCACCCTCACTGACACCACGTTTTCCTTGACACGGCAAAATCAGTGAGGAGAAGCAGCTTTGCCCAAATGCCAAACTGTATCACTGTTTTTCTGAGGACCACCAAACTTTCTCTTCCAGTCAAGTGCCAGGTGCCCAGTACTTTTCATGGTTGTTGGTTACTGTCCAAAGGGGAAACACCCTCACTGTTGAATTTTGCTTACAGACCACAACTGATTCCTGTTAGATTCCAGTTCTTATACCTCAAATCTAAATCCATCATGCATCATTGCCCTACCTCTAGTTGACAAGGCAATATAAAAAGTAAGACGTCTCATTTCTCTGAACTCACACATTGCATTCACCACAATTAAAATGGATATGTTTTCACTAAATTGTCTAAAGTAGCAAGTACAATGAATATTGTCAGAAATGTTTTTAATTTTTAAAGTGGTGTGGTTATTTACTAGTAGTAATATCAAAACTATGTCCAGGACTATCTGAACTACTGATATTTGTACACATAATTTAAAGCACAGAAAGTGATTCTACAAAATACCTTCATAATATACACTTTCTGGGCAAATTTGCATCTACCTGTTAAAGGATCAATTATTCTTTTTTTATTGTCTAAAGTTTTACATATGTCTCCTTTTTCCCCTGCTTGACCCACCCTCAGCCATTCCCACTCTGGGCAAGCCCCCACCGCCCCAGTGTCCGGGTCCATTGGTTATGCTAAAATGCATGCATACAAGTCCTTTGGTTGATCTCTTACCCACCCCCCCTCCCCTGCCTTCTCTCTGAGGTTGGACTGTCTGTTCAGTGTTAGTCTCTGGATCTATTTTTGTTCAGGAGTTTATGTTGTTCATTATATTCCACATATGAGTGAGATCTGAAGTAAATTCATTCCAGCCTTGAGGGTCTGTGGGGTGAGGGAGCCGGACAAGAAGCTGTATGGGATGATATTCTGGGTTGAGAGGAAGCAACGCAAATAGACAAAGAGGTACAAAAACTGAGACCATCCGGAATGCAAAACATATAGGACAATATGATCGTTGGGGTGGGGCAGGAATAATCAAAGGTCAGGGCAGGAGGACAGAGACTAGAACCAGAGATCAATGGCGGAACCAAAAGAAAAGGGGCAAAGTTCCCGGGGAACTCCAGTTAGGTTCTCCTACCCTCCTTCTTCCGCAAGAGCGACCCCTTAACTCACATTTTTCGCACACCATCCTTCCGCGACTGTTCCCTTAGTCGCAGTAGCCGGAGCAGCTTGAAAACAACAATACACGCCAGGGAAGGATACCCCTTCCGGGTTACCACAACCCACTTCCGGGCTCTCCGCCCTCCGCCGGCCTTTCCGACACCTGGAAAGCCAAGGGAGGAATAAACTTAAGAGGGAAGGCGGGACTGCTTCCTTTGCCCGCCCCTCCACTTCCGCGATTGGCTGTGCGGCCTAGGGTTTCCGCCCCCTAGGCCTGCGCCTGCGCGAAGAGTCGCACCTGATGGTGGGAGGTGGTAGCTGCCCCTTCCCTTCGGCGGGCGGGAGAGTTAGGTAAGCCCAGCCAAACGGTCCGGCACGCGGGCCTCCGGGGGGTGCAAGCAACCCTGCCAACTGCCCAGATGCCCGCGAGCCTCTGTGCCCCCGGCCCGCCCGCGCCACCCTTCCCGCGTGACCCAGGGGCTGCTCTGACGCCCCTCTGACGTGCTGTGGCTGCCTCTCCGTCTCCCCTGGTCTCCACACCTGTGCTTTTTGATTTTGCCCCTCAGCTCGGCCCCGCTGCCCGCACTCCAGCCGGCCGAGGTTTGGTTGGAGTCCTAAGCGACCCAGTTCATGGTGGGGCCAGGCGGTTCCCGCGAAGTCTCCGGGAGCCGCTCTCAGAACGGCCTTCTCTCCCCCCACAATGTCTGCGGACCCGGGCCAGGTGTGACCGCGGATGCCAGGGCTGTAGCCTCCCTAAGGGCGCCTGATGGGTGTCCTAGGGGCGCCTGATGGGTGTCCTAGGGGCGCCTGATGGGTGTCCTACGCTCGCTCTCAAGGCCTCGCACAGGGCTGGTCTCTCAAGAGGGGCTAACACTTGACCCACTCTCCTTTGTTTGGCCTCGTTCATTCATTCATTCTTTCGTTCATCATTGATTCAGGAAGCATTTGAGTTGAGGTATTGCTCCCTGTGTTACATCCAAATCTGCTCATGCCAGTTGGGATTCTGAGAGTGGCCCAGAAGGAAGTGTGCGAAGGGATGCCTGTTGAGACAGTGTATTGCTGATCTGCTTCCGCCCCTGAGAACTGGACCTCCGAGACATTTTTCCTTTCTCCCTTCTTGCCATTCATACGCTTCTCGGTCCGATCCCTGGTGTGTGTCTTTATTTGAAATGGCTTAGCACGTGGAAGCTTGGGATCTTACGCGTGTCATCTAACCTGTTTTAGCCTATTTCCTTATCAGTAAGATATTTACCTTTGAGAATTATAGTGCGAATTAATGGAGAGTTGTTGGGGTAAGTCATGGGCTTGCCCTTTTGTGCTAATGGGCGCCCCCTCTTCTGTGTGTATAAAATATACTGGAGTAACCAGAGTTACATAGGGACTATTACTTTAAATTAATAAGGACCTTATTTAACAATTGTGCTATGTATAAGCTCTCTGCTAGGTAATTTATAAAGGTGTGTGTGTGTGTGTGATATAGAAAGAGTAAATTATTTTCCTCCTCCATTTGTGTTCTACTTTTTATTGGAATTTAACACCTGTAACAAACATTGTCATTTTGGTATTTCTGGAGCGCTAGGATCCCTTAGTTTAGCATAATGTTTTTTGAACTCTTGATTACAGTAGTCACCGTTTGAGTATTCAAGTGTGCACTTGGTATCACTGGGCATTTGTTAGAAGATGTGAACTACAATGATATTAGACAAGGATCCACAATGGTAAAAAATGCCAACAATTTAGCCAAAGTGTATTCATGGAGTTTCTAGAATGCATTGGTTATATTTCCAACAGGGGCAGATCATTACTCCATGCAGTTTGTTCTCACCTCTGATTTTGGCAAAAAAAAAAAAAAAAAAAAAAAAAAAAAAGGAAAAGGAATCACTTAATTGGTCCTAGCACATGACCCTTTTGCAGAAACCAGTCACACATATTTAAGAAATTAGAAAATTTGTCCTTCTTAGCTATGAGAGCTGTTTACTATATTAGTCTTCATGTGCATACACGCATATGCATCTTCCTATATTCTGAAACTAATACTTAGAAAATTGACTTTGGCTCATAATTATTCTTAGGTGTTAGAACATTTAGAACAATGGAAAAAGTCATTATTGCATATGATCTTCTTAATTTGTTTTTTATTAGACAGCCACTCAAGGAAACACCATGAAAAATGCTGATATCAAGAGACTACTGTATACCCATCTTTTATGCATATTCTCAATTATCTTAAGCATCTTCATTCCATCATTCTTTTTGGAGAACTTCTCAATATTGGAAACTCACTTGATGTGGTTGTGCATCTGTTCTGTTTTTGTAACTGCCGTCAATCTAGTATTATATTTAGTGGTGAAACCAAATGCATCCAGTAAAAGAAGTTCATTATCATACAAGGTAAGGCTCATTTCTTGATAACTGATTTTTAGATAGAGGTAGTGATGTTGTTTTTTTATGGAAAAATAAAGCATTATTCCAGTACTCACTTGAGATATTTACAGTGACTAAAGAGAATGTTAGTTGCTGGAAGGCTGCCCACAGCACTCGATAGAGCCTTGTTGGGCATTAATTGTGTCTTCGCGAATAATATAGCAAATATTTCATAATAATAAGGGCTATTTGTATTGTATTCTAGCAGTCTGTTATTGGTAAATAGTTCATAGATACTGGTTAACAGCATAGCTCAATACATACCATAGAAACAGAAATGCTTTTTGACTATAGTGCTAGTTGGGTGGGTAGAATATTGGCGGTGGGGGAGCTCTATTGAGGGCTGTGTACCTACCTGACTGTGGATAAGGTGTGATCTGACTTCAGGATACCCAAATCCAAAGAACATTCAACTGTTCACACATGGGAATAAGTTATGTTTGTAAATAAAATGGAAACATGTACTGTCCTTTAGGCATTCTCTTGAGTCTTTAAATTACTCTTTTTTTTTTAAGGTAACCAGATTTTTGAAATGCTGTTTCTACTTTCTTATGTCTTGTTTCGTCTTTCATGTAATTTTTGTTCTATATGGAGCACCATTAATAGAGTAAGTCTGAAATTTCTACCTTAAGCCAATTATATTTTAAAACACTTTTTTGCTAAACAAAGGGCTAATTCTGTTGATGATTAGAGCGAGACTGTGGTGTGTTTTATTATTGGATCAAGGAAGGATACTGACATCATTGCCCTTCCTTAGCAGGAATAACTAAATTCATCAACTGCTCTTATTACCTAGCCTTCTATTACACAATTGCATGTGGGGGGTGGAAGGTAGATGAGAAACTGTACTATACCAATAAGTGTGTGACCCAATAGTGATAGGGATAACTTAGGTAGTATTAGCATATCAGTTCTTAGTAAATGTGATTCTGAAGTGCTTGAAAAAAGTTTGTTTTCTTAAGAAAAGCCAATAGATTCCAGTATTTAAATACTTAATAAGTTAATGCTTATAGTTTAAAGGTAAAATTTAACTCAATACTTTTTCAAAACTGACCAATTTTAAATTAGTGAAAATTCATGAATATTTCTTACATTAGAATTTGGGAAACTTTAGCAGTGATTAATGATCATGGTGAAATGAGTGATTTATGTATATACACAAATACATAGCTATAATACATAGTTATATATATTTATACATAGCTTGTTATATATACATATTAAATTAACAGATAATTCTTTTCTAGAGAAGGGAGGACAAGACCTTTGTAATGGCAAATGGATATTTCTATCTAATCCATTTTAGAGTAGAATGAATATCTAGAGCAATGGTGTGCAAAGTGTGGTTCTAAACCAGCATCAGCATTTTACTTAAATGCAAATTCTCAGGCCTCAGTCTGTCAGAAATTCTAGAGGTGTGGTCCTCCAATCTCTAAGTTTATCCAGCTTTTTAAGTGGCTCTGATATAAGCTAAAGTTGAACCACTGGTTGCAGAGAAAGTTCCAGAGACTATTGAGGAAGAAAGTTAATTATCTGGAAATGAGGTTTCTTGCTTTGGCCAGAATGGATCCTAGGGTTTTTAATACTTCTGAACTCTACAATTAAAGTCAGATATTTGGTAGATTATTTTTCATAGCTTACATTTTTTATAGTCATCATTTTTGTAGGACTCATGTTACCTTTCAAAGGAAAGTGCAAGAAAATATTATTATATTAAATCTATTTAAGTAACAAAGATTATGTATGTGTACATATGTGCTCCTTTAATACTTTTTAAAAAATTAATGAAGTTTCTTTTTCCTAGGCTGGTGTTGGAAACATTTTTATTTGCAGTGATCTTGTCTACTTTTACTACAGTACCTTGTTTGTGTTTGTTAGGACCAAACCTCAAAGCATGGCTAAGGGTTTTCAGTAGAAACGGGTAAGTTTTAATTTTATATTTTAGTGATTAGAAAAATATTTTAAATTATTTTTCTATTCATAGTGGCTAGCTGATTATTTCATGAGTGTTTCTCAGCTCTGTATCGTTCTCGGAAATGCATTAAGGGCCCACTGCAGTTGGGGACTGGAGAGAGGGAAGGAGTTGTAAGCACTTAAGGGAGATCCAAGCTGGCAGAACTACAGGCCCCTCCCTCTGCTTTAGCAAGATCAGCTCTGCATTTTTCCATATGGTAGAATTCCACTTAGCCTTTCGTTTGAAAAGGGGTTTCTGCTACCAGAGGTAATCTTTGAAAACCACTCCTCAGGGATAATTTGTCACTGTGATAAAAATTCGACAGATAAAATTGCTTCCTTATGTATTATAATGTAGAATTGGAGTCCACAATCTAAAAATGTTTAGTGTCATAACTGCCATTTCTTGTTTAGCCTCTTTTGTGATATGACACCTGAGTGCAAGTTTTACAGGATTTTACTTCCTCAGCAGCCATATATATTTTCAGCATAGCTAAATTAAAATTTTAGCTTCTTGAAAGGCATTGAGATGATTTGTATCAGAAATGGTTGGGGGGAAAAAAGAAATGGTTGAGTCATAATTAATAAAACTAGAAAGTTCCTTGGTGTCCATAATTTTGTCCTGTTTATCACCCAGTGGCAAAAACTCCTGAGCTCTTATTTCTCTGTGCCATGTGGAGCTTTTTTTTTTTTGTACATGTGTGTGGATTCTGAAGTGTCAGCCATGATTCTCTCCCTGTCCCTTGTTCACGGGACAAGAATGAAATGAGCAAACAGTGTGAGGCTAGAATTGTGTAAATCAGACAGTAAGTATTGTAGGAACTGAGGGGTGGGAGACCACTGAAGAATGAGTTGGAGGAGGGATAATCTATGAAGGACTTGGATCAGGAGTATGAGATTTGAGGAGACTGGGAAAAGGGAAAAACACCTCATGCTAAGGCAATGAATGAAACCATAGAAACTGAACATGGTATTTTTGTGGGATTTGAGAGGGAACAGCCCACCTGGAGCAGAGGATGCCTGATGGGTATCGAGGCTCCATAAATTACTGACTTTTTGTTTTTGAAATGAATACTGTTTGTTCCCCCTTCCGAACCATCTAGTGTTCATAACACCTCTAGAAAAAAAAGTGTAATTATTGAAAACTTTTTCCCATATTGTTACCACAATATCCCAAATGGCATTGATTTCTTTTAGCATTTTAGTTTGAAAAATTTAAACAGTGGAAACCGGTTAAACCTTATTGGTTTTGTTTGGTGATTTATCCAGCTTTGAATTTTGTTTCTGATAATAGTGTATTTGGGGGAGATATCTGATTCCTGCTATAATATGACATATGCAGTCCTAAAAATCTCTGCACTATGCAAACTTGGGCAATAAAAAACTCATAAAGAAAGGTGGGAACTTAATAAAAATGGTAGGACAGTTTTAGATATGTTAGACATGTTAAGAAATGCCTAATTATTGTAATAAATGTGGCCCTTTTCCTTGGGAAAAACCCTGAAATTCGCTTTTGCAAGTAGGTGTGGGAATGGTTGCCTCTTGTAAGTCATTATAACTTTGACCCAGCAATTCCACTTCTAGTATATTATCATAGACTAGTGGCCCGGTGCACGAAATTCGTGTACAGGGGAGGGAGATGGGGAGGGTCCCTCAGCCCAGCCTGCACCCTCTCCAATCTGGGACCCCTCGAAGGATGTCCTACTGCTGGTTTACAGGGATCGGGCCTAAACCGGCAGTTGGACATCCCTCTCACAATCCAGGACTGCTGGCTCCTAACTGCTCACCTGCCTGCCTGCCTGATTGCCCCTAACCACTCTGCCTGCTGGCCTGCTCATCCCCAACTGCCCCCCTCGATGGCCTGCTCACCCACAACTGCCCCCCTGCCAGCCTGATCACCCTCAACTGACCCCCTGCCAGCCTGCTCACCCTCAACTGCCTGCCCCTGCTGGCCTGATCACCCCAACTGCCCCTCCTACTGGCCAGTTTTCCCCCAACTGTCCCCCCTGCAGGCTTATTTGCCCCCAACTGCCCTCCCACCGGCCTAATTGCCCCCAACTGCCCCCCCTGCTGGCCAGTTTGCCCCCAACTGTCCCCCCACCAGTCTGATCTCACCTCCAACTGCCCTCCCCTGCCAGCCTGATCTCACCCTTAACCCCCTGCCAGCCTGATCTCACCTCTAACTGTCTCTGCCTTGGCCTCTACCACCATGGCTTTGTCCGGAAGGAAGTCGGACATTTGAAAGATGGCCGGTACACCTGGTCTAATTAGCATATTACCCTTTTAATAGTGTATGTATATATGTGTGTGTGTGTGTGTGTGTGTGTGTGCATATATATATATATATATAAAGCCCGTTGCACGAAGGTTTGCGCAATAGGCCTTCCTTCCCCTGGCTGCTGGCACCGGTTTTCCTCCGCAGCGGTCAGGGCAGGTGGGAAGCTTGGCTTCCTCCATCGCTGGGGGCAACCCAAGCCTCCTGCTTGCTCCAGCTCCATGGCCGCCACCATCTTTGTTGGGTTAATTTGCATACTCGCCCTGATTGGCTGATGGGCGTAGCAGAGTGATGACCAATTTGCATGTTTCTCTTTTATTAGTGTAGATATATAGACATACCTATAAAATATTGACTATAGATTATTCCTTGCAGCTTTGAAAATAGTCTAAATGTTCTTTAATAAGATGGATCATATTCAATTTAATCTACACCATGGAATACTATGCAGTTGTTAAAAAACAATCAAGTCTTTATTTATTAAAATGCTGTTAAGTGGAAAAGAGCAAGGTGAAGAAATGTGTAGAAGATGCTACCATTTATGTAAAAAGTTGCAGGATAGAATAAATATGCCTTATGCCTTTGGAAGAATACACAAAAAACTAATATAGCATCCATTGACTCTGGGGAGGGGATCTGAGAAGCTAGAAGACAAGATAAGGAGACTTTCCACTAACTACCCTTTGGTATCTTTTGAATTTGAACTATATTCATGTACTGCATGGTCAAAATGAAAATTTTAAATGAGTAGGATTTTGCCAATAATTAACTTACTTTTCAGTAATTGAGAAAGTTAGATCTGTAGCCAGAATCTGTTAGATTTCTCTGATGCCACCTAATTTTCAGTGGACTACAAAAATATCCTTCTAAAATTTCTAACGTACAACCAGATAACGGTTCAGTTGCTAGAAAACTATGACCAAAAATAATCAATATGTAATATAAAACATTTTCTTTAATATCATACAGGGCATGGCATGAAATAGTAATATGCAAAAATACTTTAATAATTTCTAAAGCATTTTCATATATGTTATAGCATTTAATTCTCACAGTAGTTTAGTGAGATACTCCTATTTCACCATTTTCTAGATGAAGGTATTAGAAAGCTAAGTGATTCACCAAAGTCCAATAGCCAGAAAGAGGTAGAGATAGGACTTGAATACACATCATCTGATGGTGTAGAAATTTTTAGAAGACTCCACTAGTTGAGGGTCAGAAAACGAGTTCCTATCTTGTCTTCACTACTGGCCCATGATGTTAGACAAGCTATTTAACTTTACAGATCCTCATATATAATATTATTAGAATAATACGAATTTGTACTTTCCAGGATTATTGTCAGAACTGATGAAACGAGTGAAATCAAATAGTAAGTGCTCAAGAAATGTTTGCCCAGTGGATTAACAAATGTTAGGGAGCATTTTTATAACTCAAACTTCCAGTTTGTTTGTCTTAGTAGCTCTTCCTGGTCCAGGTAACAGACCCAGGAGTGCAACAATGAAGAAAGAGGAACCGTTTTTCAGTTCATTGAATGTAAAATTAATTTGAACTTTTTCGTAAGAGGGGAACTTAATTCTTCCTGTCTCCATCACACATCACTAGTTCACCTTTCCCCTAGCACTTTCATCACACTTCAAGAATTTAGAATAAAAAGCATGTCAAATTTTGAATGACTTAGGAAATAATTAACTCGATAGGTTAACTTGTTTAATGTTAGAGTTGGCCTTGAATGTTCACTGTTAGGCAAAAATCTTTTTAAAATTCAAAGATCTGACTCTTCTGCAGTGAAAATATGAAATACCCACAAAAAAACAATTACTTTTGGGTTATTTTGAAATTGTTCCATTATACAGTTCACATTATTTATGTTAGGTCACAACTTTAATTTCAGAGAATTCTATTGTTATTTAAAGAGATTACACAAAACATGAATATGTTTTTTCCTACCCAATAATTATTTACAGAAATTTAAATTCAGATTTGAAGTTCTTACACTGTAGTTTAATTAATTAAAAGTATTTAAACTACCTTAAAGTACTGATTGAAGATTTTAGAGCTTAAAATATTTTTATTATTCATCCTGTGTTTTAGTGTATAAAACATGGTGGAGTTTTTGTTTTGTTTGTGTAAAGCTGGCCCTTTTAGTATTATTGAAATATGATCATTTAGATGTTCAGTATGAACAGGGCAATTTTGAATTGGGTTTGACATCTCACTCAGTATTTTATACTACTTTTAAGTGAAATAAGTATTGCATCCTAATTTTTTAATGTACTTATTTGCATGTTTAAATTAAGTAGATGATATCAGTTGAAGACTGACAAACACAAAAGTTTTCATTGTGTTGGAATTACATCCCAAGAGTAAAGGACCTTGGGATATTATCAAAATTTAATACATAATTAAATGACACTATTTTAATGAGACTTTCCCTTAAAGTAAATACAAAGTTATTCCAGATTTTTTAAAATATGTTGTTTTAAAGAGACCTTTAATGAAGGTAGAAAAGTAATTTGGTTTCTTAAAAAGTTCTACCAACTTTTTGGTGTGCTTATTACTGAATGAATGTACTCAATTTGTACTACTTTAATTCAGTTTGTTGCCGTTGTATTATAGTTTTTATGGGTTTTTTTTTATTTGTAGACTTTCTTCTAAAGGAAAATAATAATCCCACTATCTTAAACCTGTAT